CCTCACGATCCACACAGTTGAATGCCGCTTTAATGTCGAGAAATACTTCTGTTGCGAGACGCCTAAACGAGTATTGATGTTCTAGGACCCGACGAAGAGTGAATATTTAGTCTATACATCAACATCCAGGTCGGAAACAAGCCTGGTTTTCTCTAGTCTTCTCTTAACGAGCACTAGATAGGCGTCGGAGTATTAGTGAGATCAATATTTTAGATACTACATTAGGTAAACTGATTCATCTGTGAGTGTCGCAAGAGGACTTCTGTCCTTTTTGTAGACTGGAACAATCAGTGTTCGAGATCATTCAGATGGGATTACACTCAGTTCACAGATTTTACTTAAGATCTCAGTCAATCTAACTGTGCAAACTGAACCATCATCCTTAAAAATCTCAGAGGCAAGCCTATTAGGCTGTTCTGCTCTCCATCACTTCAGATTTCTTATAGCTTTTGAACTTCATAAAGACTCGGTGGACTAACGTCGACCTGACATTCACGTTGACTGCAGATTGTGGGCAACCGGAATGTGGCTGAAGAACAGTCAAATTGATCCTTAGTCTACTGCCCATCGATCCAACCTACTGGATTGAGAATGAATAATAAGACCACGATTTACCTAGATAGTCTCACTAATAGTTGGATTCCTAATACCGGTTTCCTCGATAATTATGAACAGTTGTCCACTGTAAGCTATCACTGCCGGCTTTTCTATCGCTTCTGCTACATACTACTGTTCGCGATCACTGTGTAGGTTTCTTTTCTGTCTGCGCTCAAGCTTACTTCGCTCTTCATCATATCCAGAGCAAGATGGGATGAGTTCCCGAGCATCTATCAGTTCGGTAGATGCTACTGAAATCCATGGCTTATCCCTAACTTTATGGTTTAACTAACTAACAAATATCACTGCTGTTTCCACAGCTCTTTGGATATCATTCCAAGCTGCATCGAGGTGGGCATCGCTTACATAGCTGCCTAACCGTTTTTTCTAATTCTTCCTGAAATATATTCTTAGCTATTTTATCATTAAGCAAAACCCTAAGAGGTTCCCTTGCAGCGTCTGTCCTACGTCAAATAAGCCGCAAACTAATACGCGCTCGTACTAAGGCATGATCTGAATCTAAACGTGTGCTCCTGAATGAGTCAGTCCTCTGTTGAGCCCCTGAATCAGTGGCTGATAGCAATGTGGTCTAGTTGGGTCTACCGCCGAATCGGTTGTGGGGGTTGTCAGGTTAATATATGTTTATCCTTATGCTTAAAGTTAGTGCTGGCTAGGAACAGGCAATTATCTGAGCACAGCTGCAGCAGACGGTCGCCATTATCTGATCTTTGAGCCACGAAACCATAAGATCCACCCAAGTGTCTTTCTTTTTCATTTGGTCTGCCAATTTCAGTATTGATGTCACCAGCCACTATTAGAAAGGTTTCTGTAAGACTCATCTTTTATCTCGTCCGACCTGCAGTCAGTGGGAGCGTAGGCAGATACGATGAAAAGGCAACGGCGTTTCCTTACAGTTACGAGTCCTAACTGTCCAGTTTGGTCGGACAGCGCATAAGCGACAATCTATCGGGATCCAGTCTAAGAGAGCTAGTTATACCCTAGGACTCAATGCTATGCTTACACTTGCGAGGCCACAGGAAGCGGCAGCAGGGCTTCCAGATAAACGAGGCGTAAACCCAGTCGATTCCCTATCTGTGCACGGCGAAATCAAACTGATGATTATACTCGGATCTTGTGTGCGGTTTTCGGAGACGCAACACACGTCGATTGCACAGGCTTCCAAAGTCGTAGCTAATAAAGCATGTTGTATTATTTGACACAAGGTTGGAACATTAAGAGCTCCAACATGTAGTTTGGAACGGGGCTTCAGGAAACAAGGAATAACGTTATGTGAACTCGAAACGTTTGCATCAGCGGCTCGATGTGACAAAGGAATGAAAACAGGGTTGGTTGTGGAGATAAGAGAGTTATTAAGGGTGTAGGAAGAATTTAAATGTGACTAGTTTAGACTCGTGTGTTGTTACGGATATGAGGACGGTTGTCACTTCCCAGCTGCCCATATACTAGTAGAATACTTCTTGATGAACCTAAAAAGGAAATCGGATTAACGTTGGTATGATCGACTTGAGAGCGTGATTGCAGAGCCCGACCACCACGTCAAGGTAGAAGCTGAGGTCAGTAGAACAATAACGGGACGGTGTGCATGCATATAGCATACAACTCCCTTTGAACCTAGCACACAACAATAACGTCATGCACTGTCTCATCGCCCTTGGAAGATCAGGCAACCCGAAAGTCACGAGAACACCATCAGAGCATACGACAGGTTAGGTATTGTCTATTATGAGCAATTATTAACTCGCTACAGTTAATACATTCAATAAATGATATAGCTAGTTATGCAAATCTGGATCGTTAGCGCTTTCACGAGCAATCGCATGTAATGCTAAAACTTCACGTAAGATATTTGAGGAAAAAAAGCATATCTTTGTGATACTCTTGGATCAGAATAATGCAAGAGTTGCAATGTCAATAAAAAATTACTTTCACGTTTAGTACTGATTTTCGAACAAAATATCCACCTACATGGTGTTTTCTGCTTAAAATGGGTTATTATATTGAGACCCGAGAGCAGCTGAAAATGCCTATTATTATTTGGAGAATATGATACTGGTTTTGACCGTATATTTAAACCCCATTGGTCTTTCGACTGCGTTGAAGTGGTTTCAATGTTATGCGTCTACATAAAATCATTCCGCTGGATGCATTGACAATCATAGATGACACTGAAAACTAGCTCTGTCGAAACAATAAATTGCACACTTAAGTTTAGTCAGCAGTTTACAGGTCTGAAGAGCACTCCAACTGTTACACAGGCCTTCCCTTTTTTTACCTAATTGGGTGAATTTATTTGCTGTTTTAGTATGTTATTTTGAGTCACTATACCTAACATTTTGGAATGCGTATCTAAATGGGTAGGGAAAATTCAAGGAGTCATTAGTAGTGTTGTCAGTTGAGTCTTGTGTACTTAAACGTTCTTATACGACAGGCTTAAAAGGCGAATCGAAATGTGCGATGGATGACATGTATGCAAGTCATTACCAATGTGGAACGTGGCACTTTGAAGCAGTACCGCAAAGGGGGCGAGCAATACGAAATTTAGTAATTTCTATACAATTCCAATCCTAAGTATAGGACTGGTCGAAACCCAAGTGACTATATGGAAACCATGTTTTGCGAAACCTTAAAAATTTTTGGACTGAGCTAAAGTTACAAAGCAATTGGAATTGCACGTGTTCACCACTGGATTTGAACTAAAGGATCTGTTCATATGGTAGCGCTGGTCAGTCAAATGATTGTGAATCACTAAATACTCCCTGATAGTGCATTACTCACCAACATTCTCTAAGGATGGATATACTGTACCAACTTGTTATTTGAAGAGCGCTGTAAACTAGCAAATATTACATGTCACAAAGGTATTTTGTCCCTACATGAAGTAGCACACAAGGTGAACCAAGACGATCCTTAGGTTTGAAACATTGATATTGTTGAGAAAGGATGAGTTCCCGAGCATCTATCAGTTCGGTGGATACTACTGAGATCTACGGCTTATCCCTAACTTTATGGTTTACCTAACCAACAGATATCACTGCTGTTTCCACAGCTCTTTGGATATCATCCCAAGCTGCCTCAAGGTGGGCATCACTTACATAGATGCCTAACTATTTTTCTAATTCTTCCTGAAATATATTCTTAGCTATTTCATCATTAAGTAAAACCCTAACATGTTCGCTTGAAACATCTTTCCTACGTCGAATAAGCCGCAACACAAATACGCACTCGTACTAAGGCATGATCTGAATCTAAACATGTGCTCCAGAATGAGCGACAGTCTCCACTGGCTGAGATCTAGTTGTGTCGGCTTTGGGGGTCGCCATGCTCACAGTTAGTAATTGCTAGAAATAGGCGATTATCTGAGCATAGTTGTAGTAGACGATCGTCATCATCTAATCTTTGAGCGACGACACCATAAGATCCACTACATGTCTTTCACTATCGCTTGGTTTACCTACTTGAGCATCCAATTAACCAGCGATTATTACCAAATCAGGACGCTCAGCTTTTGAAACCAAACTTTTATCTCGTCCGACCTGCAGTCAATGGGAAAGTAGGCAGGGATAACAAAGAGGCAACGGTGAGTTTCCATATCTTTACCAGAACTTAGTATCCCGTTTAGTCGGACAGAGCATAAGCGACTAACTACTGGGATCCAGTATAAGAGAGCTAGTTATGCCCTAGGATACAATGCTACACCAACTCCAGCTAGACCCCGGGAAGCAGCATCAGGGCTTCCAGATACACGAAGAGTAAATCGAGCTGCTTCTTTATTTTGACAAGGTTAACTCGAATCAATGATTTTAACAGGATCTTGTATGCGCGTTTCGTAGACGCAGAATACATTGCTGGCGAGAGATTCTAAAGTCCTAGCTAGGGGAGCATGTTGTCCTGTTAGACAAAATGTCCGGACATTAAAGCTCCAACACAGTTTAGAACGGGGGCTTTCAGGAGACCAGGAATAACGTTTCGTGAACTCGGGTTGTTTACATTAGTAGTGCAAAATGTTAAAGGGATGTGAGAAGGGTGAGACGTGGAGGTATGAGAGATGTTAGGAAAGATTTGATTATGACCAGTTTGGTCTCGTGTGCTGTTACAGGTATGAAAGAGGATGTCACTTCCCGGCTGCCTTTAAAGGAAATCGGATTAGCGTTAGTATGGATGATCTAGAAGCGTGATTGCAGAGCCCAAGGTAGCAGCTACCGTTGGGCTTTAGTGTTTCAGCCAACAAAAAACTATTTTGTTTATACAATCTTTAGAAAAATACTAAAATAGTGATATGTATAGATAGTCAACGCAATTCACAGAACCACCTAATTGATAGCAACTATAAAATAAGCGTCTATTATTCTATACAAATACTTAAATGTAGACAGATATTAACTTATCCGTAAAATTATTAAGAATTATAATAAATTCAACATTACTATGTATAATAAACATTCGAAATGAAATATCTATTTATATACATTCTGGAAGCAGAGGAACATAGACCGTTTTTTAAATTTAAAAAAAAAAGCAAACCAAAAAAAATACCATACAATATTCAAATATTCGACTGACACTGTAGGTCTATCAAAAGAAACAAATAATTCAAAAAATTTTGTGCATTCAACAGAGAAGTTAAGACTTGAAATATAAATTAATATATGTGAATGTGTTATGTATGTGTCGTAGAAGAGATTCACCTGAAAGTAACAAATATTTTCTTTTTTTTTTAGAAAAAAAAACATACCTTCGTTACGAAAAAAAAGAATCTGTAGAAAAAATTGTGCACAGATTAAAAGTAAGCTAGAATACACAGAGTAACACAGTATTTATTCATCAGGAAGGAATGAAGAATAGCCATAATAAGAACAATATTTAACACAGAGCTCCTAATCAAATTGATATCAATGACCTAATTTATATAGAACACTGAATAGAAAAATTATCACAGTCTCATTGAAAAAAAAGAAGAGGTATTTATAATCTAAATTAATCAAGAGAAATAGAGACGTTTGAAAGAAAATGGGATAAGAGAAAATGACTGAGGAATAAGTGGCATTTCGTCGTTTGGTCAGAGTAAACACATGTGTTTCATAGAAAATTTCCAAAGAGCTCTAATATCATCTGATTACATATAATATTTTGATTATCTTACTTATCTGTGAAATAAACAATAAAGGAACAAAGCCCATACATAACTGATGATATTTTTAAGATATGCATATACATACATACATACATACATAGATATATGTTTTTTTCTCCTTACCCTTCTGTGATTGCACATGAACAGTATTCGACATTGTGATAGACAGAAAAGAATATCTAGCTAAAAAAAATTACGATAAAGAATGGAGAAAGAAAAATCCAAAGGGAATATAAGGGATTCATAGATGATTTTACAAAAAGTGAATTTCTGCACATCATCTACACTAGCATTATATAAAACTGATTAACGGATTTAATCAGTCATTTGTTAGTTTGACTTTATTTTGAACAGGTAATGGATGTGCTTCAGAATTAAAAACCCATCTGTCAAGTGGTAATAGAGTATCTTCCGAAAATATTAAATAAAGATATTTCAATGTTTCTGCTAAGAAATATGACTGTTGAACATCATCCAAATTAGGATTTGAGGAGTAAACATCAAGTAGACCAGAATAGCCAGCATTTGAACGACTATATTTTTCAAGAGCCTGTAAGAAAATATGTACAGAAAAAAACAATATTGATGAATTGAATTAGACTAGACGATGTAAACAGAACTTTGCATCATTATATAAATACAATTGGTTGATCACTGAGTAATGAGTGACTAATGTCAAGTTTGTCTAGTTCTTTAAGTGAGAAATAAATTCTGTCGATAAAGTTGCGATATAACCAGTCTGAATGCTTTCATATTGTTCACTATTTGAAGATGTTGGGTTGAAGGTGGTTTGCAGAAAAGCATGGAGCCAGGGGGTTTAGTGTGAATTAGTACTCAAAGGAACTGATGTACTGTCTGAGAATTGGAACATCGTCATCTGCGTATCCCGAAAGTTTAGTTGTATCCTTAGACTGTGAAACCGATTCTGACCACCCCTCAGACAGGTTCAGAACTAGATGTACGCCTTACTGATGAATGCTAACTAGTACAAAAACTAGGTTCAAGGATTTTTGTCAACTACCTTTAACCACATAACATATTTACAAAATGTAACATTATACATCTGGAACATTAGATCAGTTTTACTGAGGTGGATGCTAGTTTTTCATATGACGATTACAGTAAGCTGAGGCAGCTAATAATATACATTATATATAAGGCTCTTGATACTTATTTGAATCAGGAGTAGCTAAATATCATTTATAGATTATAAAAAATGTCGCATTTAACCATTAACAATTTATATTCATGAGGAATTCGAATTTTGTAACTGCATACACAAATAGATTCTATTTGGTATTCTAAACAATTTCACTCTGGAAAGAACAATTAATTTCAAATGAGATCACCTGCTGTCAATAGAAAATAATTCTGAAAAAGTTACAAGGTTGATGTGATTTTTAACTGAATTCAACCTACTTAGTAAATACATTATCAAAATCAATAATTAGTTATTAGATTTATTGACCTTGGTTTTGTGTTCACACAATGTCTAAGGGCTAATTATACTACCAAACTGGTTAGGCTGAAGTAGATAGGAGGAGGTTCAGATCTACCAAGTTATAAATGAACCAATCGTTCAACCATTTAATTAGTTACTGTCGAACTACAATACATAAGAATCCATGATATGCTCCATTAAATTAATAGCTATCGTCACATAGTAAAGGAAAGATTGTAAGAAGCACACAATAAAATAAGTGAATTACTAAACCATCCTATTTGTATTCCTTGTCCTGTATAGTCTAAAATTATCTAAACAAAACAGTAAATAATTTTATCCTTGAGAACTATTTCAGAATTTTCGGTTTTCTTTTCCAGTTGTCGATCTACTCTTTCAGTATGTACATAGTGAGATTCACAAAATTGACATTACACTTGATATGTATATAAAACATTACGAGAAGCTACAATGATCTTCTGACCTTCAACTAAATAAAGTTGAAATGAGTACCTAGCGATGACACAAAATGCCGAAAAAAGTAAAAAGAATATTTTTATGATCAATAAAGCTACCTGAACTACATCCCATGCCCAATCGCGATACTTCGGATCTTTAGTAAATCGCCATAGATAGAAATATGATTCAACTGTTTCTGGTCGAAGGAGATACGCTTTATGAGGTTCAGAAATGGCAATTGCAGAAGTTTCATCAGTAAATGAAAATACTTCCGGACCAAGATGTGTTGATGAAGCATCGTAACTTCTTCTACAAGTATTAGTGATTTCAACACCACGTTGAAACCATGGATCATTTTTATCCGGTGCGCCGAGAGTGAGCATACCGCCTAGATGATAATTATAGTGAGAGCAATAAATAAAATTGGATTAATAGCTGATAATTGAAACCATTAAAGTAGAAACTAAAAAAGGTCAATTCACGAAGTCTTAACATTAAAATGCTTGCATACATGAACTGAGGTTACACAAATCTAACTTCATAAAACTTTTGATATATCAATCTTAAGCTCTTCCTAATATTCCGCCCATCTATGGCAACACAATTGTCCCATTTTAATTTCTGTCATTTTAAGACTTCACAGCAATCAGTCTCTCTAGAAAGCTCGTTATTTTAAGTCCGTAACGTTACAGTACCATCCTATCATGACCATTTTTAGTTTCAGGAACGAAAAGAGATTGTAAGAAACTGAATCTAATCAGTAGTGAGGTTATAAAGTTGTAGGTAGAAGACTAAAAAATAAACACTGCCAAAAGTCTAGAAGAATTGACGTGGTCCAACAACCATTCCTCCGTATACATTTCGCAAATGTAAATGTCCTGATAGTACTGAGTGAACAAAATAGTCAATTGATACTTACCAACAAAACAAGCCAAATGATCCATTGAATTGGAAACAGTGCCAGATTTGTAATTGCCGACATAAAGTAAATTATCTCGAGGACTTTTGTGAAATAAGCCTACTTTCAAGAATGATTCCATACTAGACTTGTATAACTCCAAAGCTTTCACATCTTTATGATCAGTACGAATCCATTCTTTTAATAAATATTCATAAAATGAGTCACCTAAAGCAGAGAGACCAGCTTCATTACCACACCATACTTTTGTATGAGGATCCATATAATTAAAAAATAATCCATTAGGTTTGTCAACTGCTTCCAAAATCTTACGAATAGTATCGACCTAGAAGAAAAACAAATTATGAATCGAAAACAAATAAGTTAATTACTTTATAGGTAATGTATATCCGTAACAATAACATTGGATTTAATCAAAGAGTAATATCTGAGAGTTTATGTAAGCGTTACATATATATGTATGCATTGGTCCATTGTTCAGAAACTAGACTAAACACAAACAAGTAATTGATGCTCACTTAAAATAATAAATCATAGGTAAAATTATATTTGAAATATCCCGATATTTTGTCCACCAAACTTGCCTGAACTTGTTCAGAGTACCAGTCAAAATTATCAGAGAATAGATAACGTTTAAAGGTGAAATGCTCATCATATTTAGATGTTGACTTTAGTAAGTAAGAAGGATAGCAAGAATCAGTCAGATGTGAAAAGTGTATATCGGTAATTCATATATTGATGTTAGTTTAGGATCTTCTTGATTTATTCCCGCGTTTCTTTACAGTATAGGATGATAATAGTGTTCTTCTCCCATTCTCTCAGTGCACACGCTAATTTAGTTGTTCATTCATTTTTAATAAACTTCGGTAGAAATTCTTGCAAGTAATTGTTTGTCCTGGGTGTAAATAATATTAGATTTATTTCAGTTTATCGGCCTCTTTTTCTCTGTAATGAGATTATAACTCCCGTTAATTAAATTTTTAACCATTGTATTCTTCATAGAACAAGCACGAGACGAAACGTGATCTATGTCTGAGAATGTTTAGACTTCCAGAATAAATTAATTTCTAACTTATTCTATTATGTCCTCTTTCAACTAAACAATCGAGAAACGCTAAATTAGAATGTATGCTGAGCGAATGGAAGAACATTGTTGTTATCGCATACTGTAAAGAAACGTCGGAACAAATTAGAAGGATTTTAAACAAACAAAATATAAAAGTTTAGCTTCATACCAATGATATCAAAAATTTGGCGTTAGTGAAAGAAGAACAACAAGACGTTGTCTATAAAAATCGTTAGTTACGGTTGTAATTTGGATTACGTGGGAGAAACATCTAGACAACTGAAGAAACACAAACTGTTTGGAACATGTCCTGGAATCATTAGCTGATCTTAAGAAACTTGAAAATGGATCGGTAGTAGCGTAACATGCGTTAAACGCAGGATACACGACGAAATTTGTTCGGACCAAAGTACTTCAGGAGGAGTTTTCAGTGCATAAAGTTTGACAGCAGAAGCACTGCGTATATATGCTATACAGAACAGCTTTAACAGAAAAGATGATCTTCGACTAACCACTCCTTGGCCAATGACCATTAACAAATGAAAAGACCTTATAACTATCCACCCTGTTTATTTCATATGCAGCGTTGTTCCGGCAGAAAAATGTTTGGATATTTTATCACAACAAGGTATTCAATGATTCTCCATTTACGAACACACCGGTGTTTTAAAAAAAGCACTCTAAGTTGTACTTTTATTCTTACTTTTAAATATGATAAAAATTTATTCATGAACAATGTTTTCTGTATGCACTATAATTATTTTGATAGACCAGTGAGAAGACGTAAATGATCTGAAAAAAGTCTTCTCACTGTTCTATCAAAATTTATAAAAGGGACTAAAATTATTAGCTGCCACATCATTAACCAATTAAATGTACTACAGTGGTGCTGTGGTGCGAGCTACTTATAAGTAGTATATGACGTGAGCGTCAACGTAATGTCTGGCAGCCGAAGATGGGGGAAGATCAAGAAAGAAAGAGTTAGAAAACAATGGAATTTGTATGAAACGCATGAATAGTGACAATGGATTGATGTTTTGCAACAGGAACAGTCCAGTTCGATATGATGGACTGTTATTTTGCAAATGAACGATTTACGATATGGTTTTCCAATTTTACTGAGTAACTCTGTAATTTGCGATAAGTACAATTCGATTGCCCCACCTGTGTTCTCTTTCACTACACTACTACACAGTGTTTCTTCACTGTTTTTTTATAACTGTCGGCTTTTTGTTTATCTAATAAAGTAATTAAGATTAAAATATAATGAAATCGATAATAGAGAAGTAGCTTCATAAATACAGGAGATCGTGGTATGAATACAATTTCGGTGTTTATTATCTGTCTCATTGAAAAACTAAACAGGTTGCAACTTATTGACAAAATACTTGTTTACTTAAAAGCAGATTTCAGTTAGTGTTATAATACTTACTATACTCAATTGCTTAAACAGTAAATTAGTTTAGGAGGGATAGATCGGAATTTAAAAGCTGCTAGTTGGTAACATGAGCAACGAATTCATGAACAATAATCAACAACTTTCTTTTCTTACTAGGTCATCTATTAGTAGGTTTGTTTTTGTTTGTGTTATGTCATGTACTTTTATTTACACAAAAAAATTATTTTATGACCTACTTTATTATACATACAAAAATGTTGTCGGATGTCTTTTATAGAATGAAGATAAAATCAAATCAAAATTATTAAACTCAGCAATCGATCAGATTATTTTTTTTGTAATACTACATAAAAATGCATAGAACGGAAGTGAATGATTATCAATAATGTGGTTTAAAATAATTTCAATTGTGAACATAGACACGAAAAAAAATGTGTTCTAGCGCTCGAACAATTTGCATGGTTTATTAAAATTCTATTATAGAAATGATCTACATTATATAAGCATACTAAAAAAACTTCTATCTTTACTTATGTGGAAATGGAAACTATGTACGGGAACATCGGAATGATTGAAATTTTTGGAAAAAATAAATCAACTTTTTTTGTTTCGCAATGTGACATAAGATGTAATGAACAGTTAAAAATTATCGAATATAAATATCGATCATAGAATAATTTTGTGTAATAAAAACAATTGCCTGGTCATGTAAAGATGTTAAATATATGAATTTATTGAATGTAAGAATATGCATAAATTGTTAAGTCAAAAAATATATACACAGATGTATGCAGTGGTTATTTGAAAACTATTAAACATACATGAATTTAGATTCTGATCAGAAATAAACCAGTAAGTTGAAATGACAGAAAATAAATTGAGTAATTTAGAAAAGGCTTGGATTAAGAATGAATATTGTCAGAGTGAATGGTCAGTTTTGATCATTTTTTAAAATTAAGATGTATAGTTATGAATTCAGAATTACCATTTTTCTTATATTCTTCTAACAGACAATGAGGGATTTTTTTGTTTTGTTAATCAATTTGTAATTAAGTAAAACTCGATTGACGTGAAATGCATTATTTTCAATACGGAGAATGATCGTTTGCTCAAATAATCTTTGTATTCATGTTATTATGTTCAACATAATTAGTTGTTAAGGTGGTATACAAAACTCAACAATTGAATGTAGGTTTTTGTTTAAAGTGCATGAGATAAAAATAGTGGTAGTAAATTAAATCTACATTTTCTAATTAATAAACAGTTACCATGGTACAACTAATTGTACTCTACTATCCAGGGTTTTCTCATACATGTAGGCCAATTTTTTTTGAAGAATACTAACTTAACTGAAGTGTATTTTGTATGCTAGTTTTCTTAAATATAATACTGTTGCTGGTTTCTTTTCAAAATTTCTAAGAACGTAGGGAATATGTTTCAAGTGTAGTTAGTGTTGTTAAATACAATTGTATTGATGTTTCACTAACATATACAGGATTATATTCTTCATTTCATAATTACAACGAATACTAGTACAGAGTTTTATATTCGAATATAAAAATCAAAGACAATCAAATGGTAGGAGACAAATAGACACAATATTAATCAAATAGAATTTACGAAAAAGGATAAGCTGTTTAATCTATTATCAGTGTTGATAACACAAAAATACAGATGGAAAATATAGATTTGGTTTGGTTAATCATTCAGTTAGTGTTGACTGGGATCTACTTGATGAAGTGTGCAGTAACATGGATACAGTCAAACTGAAAAGTTCGACATAACATTCCAAGGTTATTATGCTCGTTATGAGATCTTACGCAGAACATTGAGACTGTACACTGCTAAACAGGCTTTAACTAGAATAAAAAAAGTTAACTAGTTGATTATTACTACTGTTTTGGTTCTGAATAATTTCTTACCAGTAATGTCAGTTTCATTTTACTTGCAACTATACGAATTACTTTACAATACACATTTAAATAAATGTTGTTGCAATTGATATTTTGTTATCTTTCAAAAAGAAAGCATACGAGCCATGTGTCAGTCAGTCTAGTGTCATTACTTACAGTTTAGAATAATACATATACACACATGACTTAAGTGATGTTAATGATCGCATAAAGACTACTTTTCAATCTATGAGAATAATCATCTATCCAATAACTAGTAGTGCAAAGATGTGTGCCAATAAACCAAAAAAAAGATGCTAGATGGTCGATGAATGCACTAATTTAAAAGAAATATCACTACTACTGATAACGCATGAATGAAATGAGTATAATTGGAAGAATATGTGTACCAAGCGTCATCGTAATTTAAACTTGTGAAAAAAAACTTTGCAAACAGGTACCAATCGATTTGTATGCATTAAGCAATAAATACAATGACTCATTTGACGAAAAATCGACGTCGTTAGCAATTTCATTATCTTACTACTCTAAAAAATTATAACGACTAAATATTGGCGTTTTATTATTTTTATGGTAAAAATATAATTTATTGTTATGTCAATTACAAAAACAAGCTTAATTATCTACTTACTTAAAATTAAACCAGGATAGATGACAGTGAAATGAAAGAAAAAAAGTATATCGAATAAACTTGGAAGCAACACCAGGTGAATGCAAATTATGCTGTGAATACAATTCAAGAGTATTAAAGATTCCCATTGTGAAAATTAGAACAACACATATAAGCGAACAATATTGTTTTACACCTATCCGCTACAAAAGAAACTCGGTTAGATGTCTCACTAGCAGAGCAAAAATGATCTGTTCTATGGATATTTTAAGTCAGGAGCTGCAATTTATCAATAACTCACTGACCGAGATCGGCTACCCCAGCGCATTCATAAGGAAGTATATGGTTGATGTAAAAAAGAAGTCAGTAATTTCGACCGTCCGAAAGAAGCCACTATTTATCAAATTACAATTCCACGGAGATGTGGCCTGCGATACTCTGCAGGACATATTAATGAGAGCGATTAATAGAACATTCAATGCAGCCAAACTTGCGTTGACCTTCTCAAGTCGACCAGTGATGTCTACCCAAACGAAGGATAAGTTACCTGAGTTGGCCTCCTCTATGTGCATTTACAAATTCAGCTGCTCCTGTGGAGATAGCTATATCGGGCGTACTACCAGGCAACTTAACCAACGAATGAGTGAACATCTCCCAACATGGTTTAAGAAGGGTCAATCAAAAATAATACGCAGTTCGATCTTAGCACACCTGGTTGATAGTGGTCATATTGTAGATAAGTCTAGATCTTTTCGAGTGATCTATCGTATACCTCAATCACTTCCCAACGGAGTTCGATCCCGTCTCCTACACATAGCAGAAGCCATAGGAATTCGTAAATTCAATCCCAATTTATGTGTTCAGAAGAATTTCGTGACACCCCAATCTCTTCTGTGGCCGGAAGTCTATTCATCCACGTTTGATCTACTATTGATAAAACTTTAGTTATCATATTTTATAATTTTGTTACTACCTGTCCTCCTATTATCCACTTGAACTTTTGCCTATTATATGTAGTTACGTAATCGTTTTCATTTCATTGTGATTATCACTCAAATTGCCTTGATTAGTTTAACATTATCATATAAATATTCATGTATATTAGAGTAAAGCCTGATGACGATCTAATCGAAAATATTGTTCGCTTATATATGTTGTTCGAAGACAATTCAGTAATTAACAACAGTTGAGTGTATAAAATTGAAATATAAACACTGTTTTATTATTGTCAATGATTGCATACTCTCGTTTCTTTATTGAAGTAAATATATTGTGCAGCGAAAGCATAAGAATTAAGCGTTCAAAAAACAGACATAATCTGCTAATATACAGTTTCGATATTATTTAATCTGAAGCATTTAAACGATGCAAAAACCTAAGTATAGTGGATACAACAGTCAATGTGTCACGATAACCAACCAGTTTTTTACTCACACTGGTTTCTTCTACAAATATACCGTAACAGAACTATTCGAACTTCTTTTTATAAAACTTATCATGGGTAATTGAAAGTATTATTTGAGTTGCAGATGTTACTAACAGAATTCAATGATGCTTACTTTTACATAGATATTGTGAATTGATCTGTGATATAACAATTATTCAGTATTACCGGAACAAGCTAGGTATTTGTATCATAAACTGTTAATAATGACAGATGTGAATCATTTCCGGATCGTACACATGTTTTTAGCTGGCTGACAATAAACATCGAAAAGAAATCCGTAACCTTGACAAACCTTATAATTCATCTCATACCCTAGTAATTGCAGTTAAAAACATCACCAGCAAAATAATTTTAGTCATCAATGACCTTAATCAATATCTGAAAGGTAACCAATACAGCGTTGTATTGAGTTTTAGGTGCTGATCGCATCCTACTAAGTGCTCGCGTTAACATAATGTTGAATAATTTATGCGGAGTGGGATCAAAATTAAGTATTATACAAGAGGACATCAAAATATCAGTTACAACGCAGAACTTCAAGTTGCGATAATAGACTAGCACAGAGACGCAATTGTCAATTCGAATCCCATAGCAGTAATCAAAAAGATTAATGATCGAATATATCATTCGAGAGGAATCAGTTAAAAAAGAGAAAAAAACGGTCATCAGGAATTCAGATGTCGTACATAGTACTGACGTGAATTTTATACTACAGTAATAAGACCGTTGTTTCCCAGAACATACGTGCAACACTAGGCTAATCAAATACAGGTTACGGAAGATTGAAACGGTTATTAATATTATTTATATCAAAAGTAAATAAACTAGTTGAAAACTAACCTTTTCAGAATACACTGGATCACCAGTCAGCTCAAACAGATATTTAAATTCCATATGTAACGTGCCAAATTCTGAAAGAATCGAACATCGAGAATTCGCCCAAACAAAATTCCGTTTGTCACCTCTAATGTAATGTATGAAAAAAAGGAGTACTTCAAATAGTATTTTGAGTAAGATGGAAAACTTTATCACGGATTTAAATGTAGATAAAACAAGAGAATCTGCAACAATTTTGTAAAACTGATTGATTAATTTTATCAAAATAATAATTATTTTCGTTTTAGCAAACAAAATCTTATTTGGACAGCATTATGTAAGAGTATAAAAAGCAGAGGATTAATCAGTATGCTCGTTTCGAAACGATAAGATAAAGCTCTTATAAGATTCAATTGTAATCGAACTAACATATGATATAAATTTCAACCAACATTCTGATAACATCATTTAGATACTTTCTAAACCGATAAACAAGGTGAACGTTATTGACAAATTTTTGATGTACAGTGGATGAAAGATATAGTCGTTTGAATAAAATAAAATTAATAGGAATTCTATGCAACTTATGAGATTTATGAAAATAAGGTCAACTTTTGAATCGATTAATTAAGAAGAAATTCTGATTTGAATAACACGAATCGAAATTGTTTGCAACGGCGTAGATGCATCCATTGTTCATCTTTCTCCAAGTTCTAAGCTTCTGAATTCCTCAGACTTATTTTAATTTTACTGATTGATATTTGCTCAAAATATTTTCAGTTACTACTAATACTAATAATACTACCTTAACTACTCTAGGATTTGATCTGACAATTTTATCTCTCTGTGCTAATAAGTTATGACAGTTTGAACTGATACGCGTACGCACCAATTTAAAAGTTGCAACTGACCAACTGATTGATATACTGTCAAAAGATATATCAGGAAGTTGGTATACCTAGTAATTGAGTTGAAATCAACAATATAAGTTATGAAAGAATAAAATGATTTTTTATGAATGTCAGAATGAATACAAAAATATTATATATTAACTGGTTAGTTTTGGTTTGCATAGAATAAATAACGCTTACACAAGCATGAAATATTATTGAACTTAGTAAATGAATTGCATTGATGAAAAATTTAACTTTTAGCCACCAGTCTTATGTAGCCATTTACTCTTGCTAAAGTAACTAAGTAAAATTCAATGAATGACTATACACTGTATATTTGCCATTTATGATAAGACAAACTTTATTTAATAGTCAGAAGATAGATAACATGTACATATATATCTCTCTAAATATTATCAAAAATGAACAAAAAAATAAACATGAACTGATTCATCCTGTAAGTGATGGACACAATGATTTATCTGATAGCCTTAAAAAAAAGCAACACAAGAACAAAGGTAATTATAAATAAACAGGGTAGAAAAAAACTAACAGGTTATAGCGAACGGATTTAATTATTCATATGCACGCATACACATAAGCATGCAGTAAAACAGCAATATTATATTGCTATAGAAAAGGAGGTCAAGTATATATAACTAAAGGAATGATTATTAAATATTCTCAGAACCTTATAATTACAAAACTATATGAACAAAGATAGATGGTGGGTTAGCAATGGAATTAAGGAAGCGCGTTTCGTTCAATTTGGGAGTCATCATATAGACGTATGGGCATCACAGAGATGATGTTTACTTTGGGACTGAAACCTAGTGCCATTTACTTCAAACGTCTAGGTAACCACTCACTTGTAAAATGGGGTGAATCGTTAATTTATGTACATATTGGTTGATTGAATCTTCTCACTGATCAACGTATTGCATCCAGGATGCATATATATGCCTAAATGGACTGATCGATTACAGTTCTAAAACACTGATGAGAAGATCTCAACAACCAATGTATATAAAAAAATCATATCATATGATAATATTTTTATAATAGTAAAATTAACAATGAAGAACATAATTACACAAATGAATATTTTTTTCTGATAAAAGATGCAAAGATAACAGGTTTAAAGTGTTATTGTTATGTGAATTTATGTGTAGAGAGATGTAGCAAAATTTTTCAAGTATTGACCTAAAATACATACAAACATGAACTGGATTTAAGAAAAAAACATCATGATCGATATAATAGAAAAAAAGAAGTAAGTTTTTACGGTTAGTTAATTATGCTTAGTATGTACTTTGATTAAGAACATTATAAACCACTTTGTCAATGTATTACAAATGAAACTTGAAACTATATAATGATTGAATATTTATTGAAAATTGTAATTTCTGATTTAATTATTTAGGAAAATGCTAAGTACTACAAAACTATGTTATCTACTACGGATGATGACATGTTTTAACAGTAACAATAATTTTTGACCGAATGTCTGAAATAGATATTAACTCTATTAAAACATTATCGGCATATAATTCTATATTCAAGAACATAAACTAAAGAGAAATATCAATCATCCTGTGTTCAATTAAAGGAATTGAAATGGTGAAATAAGTGTAAACATAAGACGGTGCGAAAAAACAGTGAATGATTATCATCACCTTTGGACAGACAGAACTTCAGGTTGCCATACCGCATCAGCACAGAGACGCAACTGTCAGTTCAAATCCAAGAGTGATAGCGATAGTAGAAGTATTAGCAGTAATGTAGAAGATTAGGGAGTGAAGATATGATTCGAGAAGTATAATTCAGTGAGATAAGTTTAGAAGGATAAAGGTGAATTTAAGAATTTTTCTATATAAATAATAGAAATTTAATTGTTAAGACATCTTAATGTAATGATAATTTAGATCAAATATCATTTAAATATAGCGTGTACAACACATAATATCAATTTGACGTGTCATTTTCAATAAGGATTTGTGACACTGCAAGTCATCAGTGGTAACGGTCAACAACAAATTGTATATTAGATAGTCCAGTGAATAAAGAATAAATTATTCTCGTTAAAAAATAAAATTATTCTGTAGCTTGCAGTGATTTTGTCAAAAGTCATATGCTAAAACACTGTAAAGGTATCTCTCAATCATAATTTCGAAAAAATATATAGAACAGGTGGAAAAATTCAACTAGTATTTTATTGCCTAATCTGAATAGATGGATCAGAATCAGAGGATTAAGATGGAAGTAGAAACAGATCTATATGCATATGAACTCCATCATATGATCAAAAACACTGAGTTACTCATTTGAATAGTTGATGAAAACGTACAATATACACGCACACAGACACAGAATCATTAGCATTTTAATCATCATATTTAGTATCAAAGAAACTTTTTTACTACACAAAAGTTAAAAAAAACAAAAGAAAGAAACAATTTGTTATTTACGTTTTCAAATTGATTAAACTCATTGGAATTCCACTAGGTGTGTCAAATGCAGGAAGCAGACGTTGAGCAAGTTCAACCGCTTTTGTAAGCAAAATCTGAAGTAAAAAAGAAACGACAAATAAAGCAACCATTAAAAATAGGCCATGAAAAACAAAAAAAAACAAATTACGTGCTGATTATGCATGAAAATGAAAAAACTATTGTTTCTTTAAAAAAAAAATGTTAGAATAAATCATTGCTATTTAAAAAGACTGTTTTTACATGGAGTTGTTTCAAGCTAGAAAGGTATATTCTTCTTTTATATTCAATTATAATAACCAAGTTGAGTTTGAGGTCAACATTACTGACGACAATAAATGAGGGAGATTAAGGTTGAGACAGTCAATTTAATGATTTATGGGCTATGTGATCACAATGAAACTTGAATTTCCTGGACTGGGGCTACAACATCATGTAACACAACAAGAAGTTATACAATTCTTTTCAATTTTTCCGATGGTCATCTAATTAAAGTTGATCTGTGATATACAACTAGAAAATTACAAAGTGATCAATGTTCAGAATGACTATATTGTTGAGTTGTAATGAGTTGCAATGATACATTCGATCAGTCAGTCAGTTACAACATGTGTGCTTTTCGAGACCGAATCGGTCAAAATCAAGTCCTTCTTACCCGTGAAAGCACACGATACACTCGGTGATTTACCATAGTTAACACACCCAATGTAGTAGCTAAGTTAAAAGTATTGTGGTTTGTTTAAGTGAATGAATGAACAATGAAATATGTTAGTCATCAAGTTTATTATCAGTAGGAACAGATGATGACTGAACCGAGTACGTAGAAGCTAACGAAACACGTTATTGAATTTCCAATGACTTTGTTCCTCAAACATATATTCCTATAAAGAAATAATACACTACTTTTATTTTATTCAAGTTTAATGAGATCACAGTGTCGGAAATAAAACTTGTGGTGTAAATATGAGTATCCATACTACACGCTTTTAAATATACGTTGGTAAGTTGAGCATGAAAATTGGTACGAATATAAGATGAATTTTGCCATATTAGAAAGCTTTTTACAGTTTATTGTTTATTACAAACCAGTAAAAAATAATTCTTCAAAAAGGAAATGAAACCGAAAAGAAAGAACAAATCAAAAATCTGTCTATCACAGTAATAACTTTTCTACTATCACAGACATGAACAAACAAATAAATAATCGATCAATCACAATAATATTTACGATTATAAGGTCAAAAAAAAACAAAAATCGAAATGAATGTATAACATTTCGAGACAACAAATTGTTTAGAACGGCAATGTGAATTATTTAGTTAGGAAATGTTGTATGGCCAGGTGAAACAAAAGTGAAAGGATTTAACTCTGTGATCTAAATGATTAGTCATATATAAGCTAATGAAAACTTCAGTGAAGGAATTGGTTCAGATATTCAAAATTATTTAATTTTTATTTGTCATTATAGGGTTGTGGAAGACCGAAGAAAAAACTGTTTTGGTTGTGGTTCGCTTTTCTTGCTCACTATTTCGCACATAACAACCCGACCAGTAGATGGTGACTGACGACATCTAAGCACGGATACAGAAGGCTCGGTTGGCTTTTGCCAACCTGCGTCATAGGTGACGCAGGTGAGATATCCGCTTGCTAACCAAAGGACGAGTGTAGTGTGCAGCAGTTCGCTTCGTCCTACATGCGAAACATGGCCGCTGAGAGTAGAGGACATTCGTAGATTGCTTGTCTTCGATCATAGGTGTTTCTGAAGCATTGCTCGTATATCCTGGGACGACCGAGTAAGCAATGCTATAATTAGGAAACGAGTACTAGGTAGGGTTGGCAAATCAATAGATGAAGTAATGAAACTTCATCAGTTGAGGTGGTTAGGTCTAACCAACGACTGTCTCGATGAGCTATGTTTTGAGGTGGCACAGATCCATGAAGTCACTGACAAGTGAACTGAGTCATGTTGGTAGATGTAGGCTACATGGTTGGGGTCCGCGAGACCTTGAATGACAAGGCTCAAAATCGTTTGCAATGGCGCAGGTGCATCCACTCTTTGTGTTCTCTCAAAATCTAACCTTCAGAATCCCTCATCATCTCTATCTTTCTCCTTCTAAATTTATCTCACTGAATTATACTTCTTGAATAATATCTTCGAACCCTAATCTACTCCATTACCAGTAATGCCTATACTCTCGCTACCACTATGCGATTTGAAATGATAGTTGCGTCTCTGTGCTGACGCGGTATGGCAACCTGGACTTATGTACTCATGTAAGGTGTTTTGCATAGTAACTCACTGACTGAGGTGGAACGTCTCTAGTAGTGACTATACACGAGTGGTCATATGCAAGCATTTCAAGAGTTGGAGTAGACTCCTCACACTCGACCCTATCAGGCCATTTGGATAATATTATCAAGCATAAGTGTGACATTTCAATGAATGAAATACGTGTGTCTTCCGTATCGACGATTTTGCATTTGTTTAACGCGGACAGTACTGTGTTAGAGAAAAATTTAGATGTAGTTTTTTTTATTCTTATTTAAAGAACAGAATGTTTTATTTCATAAAAAAGGATTAAAAATAACCTACAAAGAATTAGTTTATGTTTAATTTTATATATATGGCGAAACTATATTACTTGGTCAATAAATTCTTATGAACTAATTACTATAGGTGAGTTATGATAGTTTTTTGTTTATTAAATAAATACCACCATTTCTTTCCAAGATAAACCATGCTTTCTATGCTAATTTTGTCTGCGATGACTTTGGACATTTACAATACATAAATAGTTAATTTAATATATCTTTTACGTAATTTTGAACTTAGAATTTTGTGACAACACATTCAGAAAAGCACAACAAACGTAAGACAAAACATAGCCACTTTTTTTTTATATACATAACAAGAATGTGTAAGTAGTGTTATGATGAATATAGAGAGAAGTGATGTTCAAGATTTATGGTACTACACATAGTGAGTATTTATGGCTGTCATAGAGATTGATATTAACTAATAGAATTTATTAAGTTTTTATCTGCTTCAGTTCAGATTCCGCCATATTAGTACATATTGCTTAGACTACCTATAAGTAACAATCATCTCTTAGTTTGGTAATACTTTAGACCATTGATTTGATTGATTTTCAATTTAAATATTATCATAATGGCAATCAGTATATATTATTGATACAATTGTAGTTAGAACAAAGAAGACTGACAACATCCCGGTGAAATAATGTTGACAGAATGTCGTGTACAATCAGTCATTGATTGCGTAGATTAATAAAGCAAAGTTGAAAAGTGAATAGAAATCATATCTTTAAAAAGAACGTGTACAAATATGTATGCATCTCTTATACTGACGTATCAGATAGATGAGTAATCCATACTTTAATGTCCGTAATAATTACGAATTGAAAATCACGTATAAAATTAACATTTGACTAGAAAACTGATATGTACTCATTTAATTTTGTTTTGATAATTATCAAGATCTGATATGATTACATATTACGTAAGGTTAATGGACCTATTCAATCAAGCTAAGAGGTCAAACAGATCCAGTGAGACATTTTACATTTCAAAGTTAAGAACGAGTAAAGAAACACACGACCACTATTAGTATTGTGATGATAAAGAAATGTCATTATTGTAGAGTTTGTACACTGAACAGTTATTATTATCATAATACCAATAATAATAAGATGTTAGGTAACGGTTTTTATATTAAGCAATAGAAGTTCTAATATTAAATACTCGAACAGTACAGAATATGTATAACACAACCTAATGAATGTCTAAATATACACTTTATCATTCAAGTGTACTGATTATCAAACCTAGTCTTTCAGTGCAAATATTAATTAACTGAAATCGATTCATTTCTTTGTTTAGATTTGATTTATAACATCCTCATTTCCTTTAATGCACTTGCAAACAAATAAATCTACAAACAAGTGACAAAGTACATCTAATGTACAATATCATTAGTGAATAGCTTTAACAAACAGACAAGACAAGACTACATATATGATAGTGTCAGAGTGTAACTTTGATAAATCTTGAAGCCAGTCAATAATGTGAGGATACAATTACTAATTTATTGAGGGGTTCTGTAAAGCGGTTAATTTAATTTGTAAATGGTATTTTATGATACTCCAGCTAATGTTGATGTGCATAACGAAAAATAAATGAGCGTACTGAATAAATGCAACACGAAGAAATTCACTTCACTTCTACCTGAAGTTTGTGCGGATGATGTTCAGAAGAACAATGAAAGCACCACAACCAAAACATCCAGCTCAGAGAACCAAACACCACCATGAACAGTCAGCTACAACGTAGAACTTCGTACCTACGAACATCAGTTCAAGTTGCCATACTACATTAGCACAGAAACCCAATTATCAATTCAAATCCTATAGTAGAAGTATCTGCAGTGATGGGTAAGAATAAGGTTAGAAGATTTGGTTCAAAAAGTATATCCAAGTGGAATAAATTTAGAAAAATAAAAGAACGGTTAAAAGGAATTCAGAAGATTAGAATTTCAGAGAAGAAAAGAATGGATGCGCCTGCGGCGTTCCAAACAATTTTGAGCCATGTCATTCAAAGTCTCTAACGACAGGTTAAGATTTTCTCGCCAACTACAACCTGCTGGTCTACACCCACTAACGTGGCTCTTTCCGGCTGTCAGTGACTTTAAGGATCTGTATCATGTTTTAATCTGTCAGCCTCGAGCTTTCTTACAGCCTACTCCTACATCACAAAACATCGCTCGTCCAGTTAGCCCATGGGTCAGAGATGCGTAACACATGTCCAAACCACCATCAACTAATTCACCATCGTTTCTCAGTACCGTTTTCCTATCAACAGCAATGTTTACTCAATGGTCCCATAGTAAACGAGCAATGCATCGATGATCGGATACTACTAATGTACGAATATCCTCTACTCTTACTCATCATGTTTTATAGCAGTAGAGTAGGAAGGTGCGGACTGATGAACAGTACACTCGCCCGTTGATTAGTAGACGGATATTTCTCCTACACCATCAGTGACGCAACTTGACAAAAGCCAGTCGAGTCATCTGCATCCAAACCGAGATTTCGTCACACACCAAAACAGCACTGATGAGAATACCGAGACAAGTGAAGCGGTCGACACGCTGAACTACATCACTCCCGACCACTAGTTCAGGTGACGATGTAAGTCAGTCCTGAAGCATCAATTTGCGTTTCGATGGAGGAAATCGCATACTGTACATGCTTGCGTTGTTGCTTAAGGTAGTGGTCAGAAGACTTAATTTTTTCAGCATGTTCATCGAACAGAAGTATATCTTTTGCATATTCTCAGTCATCAAACAAATATCCTAGTAGAAGTTAAACTACTGAAAAGTCAGATGATGAATGTGTTATCTTTAAAAGCATTTCAATAACAAAGTTGAATAAAAATGGATAAGGCGGACAAGCCTGACGAACACAAGCAACAACTGAAATTTGAAATTTAACACGATGACCACGAAATGTCATTGATGTTAACTATTTCACTCCTAAAAGTGTTTGCTTTCATCGGTCCAATTAGTTAACGTCCGATGGGAGGCTTGCAGGTCCTAGGTTCGACCTCGTCGCTGGGTTATGTGTACGCACAACTGGAGAATTTTACATGCGAACAAAACAACTATTCGGTTAAGTGTGGTTAATATTTTATTGAATTATTTTTTTGGATAGGAAGTCCAAGGACAGAGTAGGTTGAAGAATGCTGGTCTGCAGCCTATGCTTCATTGCGTACGTAAGTTACTAATTGTTAATAATGGTTCCTCGGAAGAGAGCATTATATAATGAATGCTACGGAAGAAACAAATCAGTTTACACAATAACCTATTCAAAGAAAATACTGTACCTATTTAACAAGATAATAATAATAATAATAATAATAATAATAATAATAATCACGATATTTCTGTAACCGACATCAATCAATGTTGAAAAAGCACTTTAACATTTGAAATAAACCTACAGGCTTCTTAGAGAACGTGTAAGCCGACAACAATCCACCGATGTACCTAATATTGAATTCAAACACCGATACGATGGTAGGCTGTGAAGGAAAAGTTCAAAATATAAACAAAAAACCATTAAGTATTTGAAAATTCATATATTACACAGAAAAAAAATCTGTTGATAATGAGGTCAAAATGAACAATTTTTCTGAAATAAGATGAAAATCGCAACGATGAACAGTTTAATTGATAAATACATTCATTATTCTAATGTTCTACACAAAATTTGATGAGGAATAGGTTCACGTATCTACATTCGTAAAACAAGGCTGAAACTGGTGACGACATGCACTGGGAGAAAGGAACGAAAACAGTGAAAGATATGCAAACCTATGTGCCCGCAAAAGCACAAGTTATAGGCACCATATTCCCACACAAACGCATACACAAAGCCACATGTGTTTCAACGTTTCAGACTACACGGAACCAAATCGAAAGAATGTTTCAGAAGGACAACGGCAGATGTAACAACGAAGAGAAGAGCTGATGTCACATCAGTTTATCACTTGATTATGAAAGTAAAACTAGAGAAGCACTGAACTGGGCACATTGCATCACAAAGGTTTAATATGGTGTTTCTTCAGGATACTGGAAAACTGGACGAATTCAAAATAGCTCTCATAAAAATGTTCAACGCCTTTCACAATCTAATGAGGGCGAAACCTAATGGAAACAACTGGAATGTTGTAACTAGCGTTGCAGGTGGATAGGATATATATTCCAGAAACCACTCAACTGCGTGACTAGGAAAGGGTTGATTACCGAATGCTGGTCGGAGGTCTATGATCGATTAGTGGTAACAGCCGTTCACAAGGAAGTAGTTAGATTTTAGACGCCGAACAAAATACTGATTAATTGGTGGTTGTAACATATAAATAATATAAATATCTTAAAGCTACACAATTCCAAGACAGCCATTATTCAAATCGTAACGAACTGCTAAGCAGCATAATCCAACATTTATAAATACAGCCACATACATCCTCTTCAACATCAGAAGTGAACTTAAACTAACATACTAAACACACCTTTTGTTACAAAGTCGACATTTCTATATGGCCAATATACATATTATCATTTACTTTAGTCTGGTAAATTAACCTCTGCGATATTTATTCATACAATGAGAATGAACAAATGCGATAGTTATTGATTATTGTCTTAATAAATAACGAATTAATATAACAACACTTAAGATTCTAGTCCTTAATGTATATCAGCGTTATGATTAACTGTACACATCATTGTAATAAAATTGTTGGACAGAATAAAAGAGCATTATTATTATCATTATTTGTTACTATTATTATTATTATTATTATTATAACTAATTACTGAATCAAGTGTTAATTGTTAGTTATTATTTACTAAAATTTACTGCAGTTTGTGTCAGAAACACTTAAGTTTATGAGTATTGAAGTTCATCATATTATAGAAACGTATCAGTTTATCACCACTTGAGAAAATGTGTATATTTCTGTGTCCGTAATCTATAATTCATCAATATTATTTCATTCACAGCAACTACCTGCTTGCATAAAATTATAGAAGTGAGTGATTCCGTGCTTCTGAACTGATTATCTTGAGATGGTGGAGACAATTTGTGGCTCGTGTGGGTAATTGTGGTGGAGTTTCGTTCTCTGAGCTGGATTTTTTTATTGTGGAGCTCTCATTGTTATTCTGAACAGTATCATCGTCATCACAAATTCAAACACTTCACTTCTATTTGAAGTTCAGAAGAATAATGAAAGCTCCACAACCAAAACATCCAGCTCACAGAACGAAACTCCACCACAAACTGACTATCATATAAGTGTAAAAACTGTGTTTGTTGATTTAAATTTATTTTAGTATGTTTATTTTCTGAATGCTTTCCGACGTTTATTCAGTTCATAATGTTCACAAATTGTAATTTATAAGACCCAATGTAGAGAAGAGTATATGACATCCGTAGATATCAATAACACGACTGGATTATATGGTTTACTATAAATTGAGCACTGGGTGGAAAAAGTTAGTAATAATGAAATGACTAATTTTTATGACATTCCAACGAGTAGCAATTTATAATGCTCATGTTTTGTGAATTGTTGCAAGTCACGTTGTCTCTTCGGTAAAATCCGGTTCAAAACCGAAGGGATGTGTTGGTATTTTAAGTGATGAGATTGACTGTTGATAATATTACTCAACGTAACAGAATTCCGAATAGGGTAATACATTTAACTAAGATTACTTTAATAGAACCTAAAAAAATTTTGAAATATATTTTGCATCATGCAAATAAACATTATTGTTCTAGTCAATCATATTTCATTCTTCTCCATATTTAGTATTACGAACGTTTCTAGTTACTTCAGAAAAAATTATATAAAATGACACAATAGAAGATACATACTTTGTTAAAATCCAGATTCATTTCAATCCATCCTAGAGCTGCATTGAATTCCTTGTCTAAATTCATTATATACAAAGTATCTAAAGCGTCGATTAAGGAAGCCCCGAGTGGTTCAGTGCCAAGTACAGAGGGTAAGTGGCCAGTTTTTGAAACCGGTCTCAATTCATTACTTCCCCATGAATAGGTAGCATAACCGTTCCAAGCAAACTTCATCATCTAAAGTTTATGAAAAAAGAACAGAAACAAAAGAGATTACAAAACGAAAATATATTTTATAATCATCTAGTACTTTAGAATTCATATTTTAGGAAAAGGAAAGTTAGATAAACAAAGAGAGAAGGCTACAGATCAATAATTCCATGAGGCAAGCAGACATTGTTTAGCTTACTCCAATAATTTTACTGAGCTAATAATAAAAGCTAACATAAAGTCAGTGAAGCACTAACTTTCGTAATCATTGATTTATGATTGTTAACTATATTAACAGTAAAGTTGTGTGATACATATATAACTGATTACTAGTGAACGTTTGAAGAACTGGTCATAATTTTCCTAGTAGTTGTACTTGGGTTACGCAGTGTACGTACGATTTTGTTGTATGGCCATACTAGAGAAAACATTGTACTTAATACAATTTAATTCCCTCAGACGGTTACGCTCGGATGACATCAGAAACGATGGTAGCTGGTGTTCAACAACCGGAAAAATTATAGGGCCGGATAGTAAAAATTTGTTAATAAATTTTAAGCAAATTAATTAATCCCACAAAGCATTTTATGTGAGAAAATATATAATTTATAAATTACTTTCAAATACACATAAAATGGAAGCGTTAGTAAGAAAATCAATGGCATGATTAAATTTATCCGCAGGTGAATAAAGTTGTGAGACTCCAACGCAAAATCATAAGATTAATTAGTCACTCTTTCTGATTACGTCTAGAACAGAAAAGATGACAAATCAGACATAATAGTAAACCATATAATAATTTCTGCTTTGAGTTATTCGGGAATAGATAGGATTTTTAGCCAATCAATTTTCAACAGACTTTATTACTAGGATTTATACCGAAAACATATTTTTGCTCGATCTAAAGAATAACTTTTTCTAATACATAAAGTATCGGACACTATACAAATTAATAAAGAGAAAAATAAACGATTTAAACAGTGTCGAAAAGCTTTCAGAAGGTAACTCTAACTGAGTCAGTTAAATATGAAATAAACAAATACAATGTTAACACCTAAAAACTATATTAACGATATTACCATAAAACGTAGCAAATCATTTTAGGACATGTCCTCGATTTCGGAATTCGAATTAGCTTTTGCTATCTTGATGAAATGTACTAACTGCTACTTTTCATATCAGTGTAAAAAAAATTGTAACAGAAACATAATACAGCATACATACGTAGAACACAATATACAAATATAGAAAGGAGATTGGTTTACACGGTGTAATAACATTTACATAGCCATTTTTAAGTAAGTAATTGCAAAAATATACATGGCAGTAAATGGATGTTTATCAGTCTAATGTATAATTAAGGCTAGATTTCTTAAAACTAGGAAACTAACAAATCATCATAGAAATTTTATTACATCTAACATAATTACAATGATTTCAACAACATCAACACAACTAGGGAATTTTAAAATCTTTCTATTTCATAGAATTGAAAGAAAATTTAATTATTGCAATGTTGAATGAAATTTTTTTTCTTGTTGCAATAATAACAATATATAACAATGTATATTCTGAAAAATCTATTACAAACTGTGTGCTGATTCAAAGACAAGGTCAATTTTCTATATTTATCTGAATAGTAATGCATAATCAAATAAATTATTCAAATGATTATTTTTATATACACATCGAAAGTTTTTAGTCAAAAAGCTGTACAAGAATTGGTTTAGGAAGTGAATAACTTATTCGCCAAAAAAATATATATGTAATGTTTTTGTTATTATAAATAATTACTATAACTAACTAGAACTGAATGAAAATTTCAAGTTAATTTGAAATTTGATAAGAAATTTTACATTAGAAATAAAATCCGAAATAATTCATTCATTTGATAACGAATGAAATAAAATAAACAAACAATAATTTTTTTCTAACACATTTCAACCTTATATCAAAATCAAATTTCCACGGATAAAAGACTGTTTTGTTTACAAGTTGGAAGAGTTTAGAGGCTTACGCATTTCACAATTTAGAAATATTTAGAGGAAATGATATGAGTTACCATGATAAGAATGTCATTTATAGTCAGTCAGTTACAAAGTAGAACTTCGTACGTACGTACCCCAACCAGGTAGTCTACATCTACCAACATGACACAGTTCACTTGTCAGTGACTTCATGGATTTGTGCCATGTTTTCGTCAGGTCGTCCATAGCTTTCTTCAAACTTATTCCTACACAACAAAACATCGCTCTTCGAGGCACTCGGTGGATGGCCATTCGTAACACATGTCCCAACCACCTCAACTGATGAAGTTTCAATACTTCATCTATAGATCTGCCATCCTTACCTAGTACTCGTTTCCTAACGACAGCATTGCTTACTCGGTTGTCCCACGATACGAGCAATGCTTCTTAAACATCTATGATCGAATACTAATAATTTGCAATCCCTATCTAGTGCTCGTTTCCCAACAACAGCATTGTCCCAGGATACACGAGCAATGCTCCAGAGACATCTACAATGGAATACTAATAACCTACAGAAATCCTCAACTCATACCAGCTGCACAGTAGACTCGTCCTTTGGTAAGAAGATGGATATCTCGCCTACACCATCGGTGATGCAAGTTGGCAAACGCCAATCGAGCTTTATGTATCCGTGCTGAGATTTCAACAGTCGCCAGGCCATCAGCACTGATGAGACTCCCAAGATAAGTGAAGCGGTCGACACACTCGACCACTTCACTCCCTATCACTAGTTCAGGTGCCGATGCAACCCAATCTTGAAGCAACATTTTGCATTTCGACGGGGAAAACCGCATACCGAACATGCTTACATTGTTGCTCAGTGTAGTCAGAAGACTCTGCATTTTGTCAGGGTCTTCACCAAGTAGAACTGTCATCGGCAAACTCTAAGACAACAAGCGAGTCTCACGGTAGAAGCTCCACTCCAGCAAAGTCATATGAAGATAATGTTATATCTAGAGGTAAGTTAAACAGGAATGGAGAGAGTGAGCAACCCTGACGGACACCACTTGAACTATCCAATTCTGATGACAGGAGGCCGAAAACTCTCACTCAATCGGCAGTGTTCCAGTAGAGAGCTTATATAAGGTTAATATACTTCACTGGCACACCTTTTAATGACAGACACTGCCACAGAACCTCACGATCCACACAGTTGAATGCCGCCTTAAAGTCGAGAAATACTTCTATTGTGGGACGTCTAGACGAGTGTTGATGTTCTAGGACCCGACGAAGAGTGAATATTTAGTCTATACACCAATATCCATGTCGGAAACAAGCCTGGTTTTCTGTAGTCTGCTCTTCGCGAGTCGGATTATTATTATTGAGGCCAATATTTTAGATACCTGATTAGTTAAAATGACTTCTGTAGACTGGGGCAATTAGTGGTCGAGAACAGTCGGATGGGATTAAGCCCAGTTCCAAGATCTCAGTCAATCTAATTGTTAAAACTGGACCACAATTCATAGAAATATAAGGGGTGGAGCTTTCTAATCTAACAGCAGATGATCGACTGTTAATTGGTATCCAGTTGATTAGCGATATCTCAGCTTTGAGGTCTAATGAGACACCAACACCCACAGGATCAGCCGAAAACGCAACATGAACGCCGGATAAATACAAAGGAAACAAGCTTTTCGAAGCAGCAGATTGGGTGCGAATGTGTCAAACGTCTACTGGCCGGCCTGTAATAGTACATGGACATTGAAAGGCACCCAGACAGTATCCCAAACCATTCATAAATATTTGGATGTCCTTTTGTACCAATGTTCATGTGTTTAAGTAAAAATATGAATGTACACTTATGTTTGGAATACGATCACATGATTGCTGTGGAACAGTGACTGTTGAAAACCAAACTATTCAAGTGAACTGAAAACAGGGGAAAATCATATGATATTAAAAGTCATTTGTAAATATCTATTCTGCTTTGGTATCTGAAAGATGTAAACTAATGTAACAGAGTTCCGGTAAAAAAAACCTAAATCCATAACTTACCTCTCGAACTTTATCGCGCATAGCGACTACTGTCGCATTGTCAGGAAGACCGCCTTGAGTTTCTTCCTTGGAAATAGGTGTACCATGTTTGAAAAGTGTAGCGGATGGAATCTCTCCAGAACTGCGAAGTGCTTGAGGAGGTTTCGGAACACCTTTTGGTTTATCAGCTTCTGGAGGTATTTGTGCAGGTGGTTGGATTTGACGATTATCCTGATCAGATTGTGCGAGATTGGGTGGGGCATCGATTATAGGCGGCTTTGGCGCTACATTAGGTAATTCACCAACTTTCTGGAGGAAAAGAATACAATATGATACTTAAAGTACTGAAATAAGCTGAAAAAAATATTGAGTAAGATTTTCAAATAACCCACAGGATATATAGTAAGATATGAAAAACATACTGAGTCAATTTTCAGAAACGACTATCGGCAAGCAAGCATTATACAATATATTGTAAACGGAAGCGGGACTTAAAGTGTTCTAAGAGCAGATCCCGTTAAGCTCAAAGAAGCATAGGTCGCCGACCAGCATTCTGCAACCTACTAGGTCATGGGCCGTCATTTCTGGCTCTCTCCGAATGTTGTTCATTCTTCTCATGTCTGTCTCCTCGGCTTAATATGTTCTTTAGTTTTCTTCTTTTGCTTTGACCCTGAGAATTACAAGTCATAGCTTTTCCCGTGACACACTTGGGTGCTTTCCCCAATGTGTGTCCTACGCACTACCTCCACTGGAATCTGGTTTGTTTCCTCCCACAGTAGGTCGTTGCTGATGGTGCCTGGCCAACGGGTCCAAAGTATTTTACGTAAATAACTGTTAACAAACACTCGTATCTTCTGGATGACGGCTTTCGTTGTTCTACATACTATAGAACTGTCTTGAAATTTGTATTGAAAATTCTGACTAGTATCATATAATTGTCTCACATTTCCTTCACTTGCAGCTTTTACACCGTCATTGCTAGGTCTCATACATATTTACGTTTGTCGGCCATGATGCTCTTCTTCACGTACTTGTTTGCTTCTCTGTATTCATCTTGTGCCTTGGTTTTTTCTACTCTTTTTCGGTTGATATTGATTGCTGCCTTCTTGCACCTACTTTGTTGAATCTTACCCAGAATATCAACAGAGATCCATCCCTTGCGATGGTACTTCTTGTGGCCCAGAACCTTATGACTTGCAGACAGACAGACAGATACAACGCAGAACTTCGTACGTTAAGTACATCAGTTCAGGTTGCCATACCATGTCAGCACAGAGACGCAACTGTCGATTCAAATCCAAGAGTGATAGCGATAGTAGAAGTAATAGCAGTAATGGAGAAGATTAGGGAGTGAAGATATGATTGGAGAAGTATAATTCAGGGAGATAAAATTAGGAGAAGGATAGAGATGACTTGCTGAAGTGATTGTCGCCTTGATCCCTTTCCAATGGTTCTCCATGGTAGTTTTCTTTCCATTGAGTGGATCGTGAAAAGCCTGTAACCTATTGCTGAGGGCTCTGGTTTGACCAGTAGTACTCAAGAACAAAGTTTGTACAACGTTAGTGTAAATTCGTGGAAAATGTGTCAATGACAGACTGCCACGGAATCTTGGTGTCAAGGAATACAATTATTGTCAAACGTTGAAGTGTGTCTATATTCTGGGTCCTCGCAAAGTGTGAATATATGTTCTATACTTTTAGGATCAGGTATGAAATCGGTCTGGTTTTTCCGAGTTCTCTCTTCACGAGCTGTGACTAAGCAATGAAATACTTGAGGCCAATATTTTAAACACCATATTAGTTAAACTGATTATTTTGTGACTGTCACAAGAGGACTCTTGTACTTTCTTAGATACTGAGACAATCAGAGAATGAGGTTAATTAGATGCGGCTACATCTCAGTTAATCTCACTGTCAAAAACTGGACCACCATCCTTTACTCATAAGGACATGCTGCTCTCTTTCCTTAGATTGCTTGTTAGCTTTACAAAGTGACTAAAAGTGGAAGGATAGACCGATTTGTCATTCAGGTTATTTGGTAATGGTGGGTATTTAAGCTGTTGCTGATGAATAGTTGAACTGTCCTGCCAATCGGTCTAGTCTACTGGATTGAGAGTGAATAATAGTTCCATCTTTCTGAGACAGTCTCGCCAACGGTCGGATGCCTAATAAGAATCCGCTAGTTAGGTTTGCACGGTTGGCTACTGTTAATCATCGCCTTTTCCATCTCTTTCACCTCCGTTATCCATCAGCCTGGGATTAAGTCACCTCTACTACTCACCGTATTCAGAACCAGGCGGAACGAGTTTCCGATCATCTGTCAGTTTATCAGGTGCCGATGAAATTCCGCTGACTTTCCTTAACATTTTGGTTTACGTTACACGTAGATGTCACTGCTGTTTCAATAGCTTTTTGGATATCATTCCAAGCCGCCTCGGGGTAGGTATCACTGACACGGCTGTTTAACTTTTGCAAGTTGTTCCTCAAATACATATATATACACCCCATTTGTTCCGGGAATAGTCTTGAGCTTTTTATCATGAGGTTGAACTACAGAGGGTTTGTTTAATGTTCAGTAAACTGCAGACAAATACGTGTTCATACAGGAGCAAAGTCAAAGTTTAGACATGTGCTTCAAGACGAACGACAGCCTACTATAGAGCCTCTATAAACGATAGCTGATTGAGATGTGATCTATTTGAGTCGAATCTTGAGTCGACTGTGAAAAACGCCATGTTAAATGACGACTTTCTATGTGCTCGAATTCAGTGTTCTCTAGAAACAGACGATTATCTGAGCATACAGTAGACGGTCGTCATAATGTTCGATGAGCTGCTAAGGATTCCTTCTAAGTTTCGCTTCGTCTACCTACGTGAGCATTAAAAACACCAGCCACCATTACCAAGTCAGAGCATTGGAAAGCTTTCTGTAAGATCCACACTACTTCATCTAAGCTGCCCATTTATGAGAAAATAGACAGAGACAACAAAGAGCCAACGTTCACTGTCCCTGTCTATCCTAGTTCTTACTATCCCATTCAGTCGGACAGCGTAAAAGCAAACCTTTACATACCTGCGCAACATCATTGATAATCAAGGTGGATCTCATATAAATGAAAAGACATGCATTGGTAAGGAGAGGTCAGTACTTCTACAGTCGAACATTTGCAACTCAAAACAAACGTCGAAACAGTTCTATTGTATGGAGCGACAACTTGGAGAATCACGAAAGTCATCATCTGAAAGATGCAGTTGTTTATGGACAGCTGTCTACGCAAGATACTCCTCGCTCATTGACCAGGTACAGTCAGCAGCAACCTAATGTCGTAGAGAAGAAATCAGATTCCAGCTGAGGAAGGATTGAAGAGAAATTGCTGGAGATGGATAGGACATACACTGCGGAAATCATTTAAGTGCGCAACCAGGTGTTCAGTTGGGTAATCAAAGGATAATACATCAAAAAAGACCTGTTATAATCAAGAAAAAATCTTATGTTCTCAACTATGCATAGTACTTTGTACAAAATTTGAACATTTGAATTCAGTGCTATCGATAACCTAAGATCTTACTTGCGTACTTTACGCCTGTTACCCATAACGCAGGATAGGTCGCCGACTAGCATTTTCCACCTAACTCTGTCGTGGGTCTTCCTTTCCAGTTCCACCCGACTGCTGTTTATTCTTTTTATTCCTGCCTCCAATTCTCGACATAGTGTGTTCCTTGGTCTGGTTCTCTTCCTTTGTCCTTGAGGGTCGGCCCCAAGCAAGGGCTTGCTTCGTGATGCAGCAATTATTTAATTTCAAAGATCTTCATGAACTTTTTAAACATTACAATTAATTAGAATAAACTGAATTTTGGACTGAAATTCAACTTTTGTAACCTTTCCATTTATGGAAAGGCAACATGACCACAGGTGTTCCTTCATAAGAAACACTATCGCCGTCATATACAGATATAGTCAGCAGCAGGACTCTGTTTGCAAACATGCTGTTTTGATTTTTACTGCTCTCAAAGCGAAATACATCAATAAGAGTGTTTAAGTAACCATTTGTTCACATGACTTACAGAAATATATTGAGAATTACACACAAAGTTTACTTACTGGTTCTTCAAACAAGTAGTTAATTGAGCGTGTCGTGATAATAATTATTATGACAACTAGAATCAAGAGGATTATACGCCGACATCGAAAATTTCGAATTCGTAACGTCCTACAAAAAAGGCAAAACAAACCAAGTCACCATGACTGTAAACCAACCAGCTAGATATATAAGTAGTGAACTTGAAGTTATGAGAATTCGCGAAAAAGTGAAGTTTTGCTACACAGTATACGCAACTAAACATAAACAAACGACTAATCATGATGTTACAAGTGTCGCTGCATACAGGAAACTAAAATACTGATTATATATTTCACTCCTAGCTCCAATCACCAATCCTTACAATTTTGTGTAGTAGACTGTTACATTCATTATATAAGGAGTAGTTACACAGCTGCCTAAAGTCTCAGTCATACAGTTACAAAGTAGAACTTTGTACGTACATACATAAGTTCATGTTGTCATACCACTTTAGCACAGAAACGCAATTATCAATTTAAATCCCTTAGTAGTAGAGATAGTAGAAGTATAAGCCGTAATGGAGATTAGGGTTCTACGATATTATTCAGGAAGTATCATTCAGTGAGATGAAGAGAAAGACAGAGGTGATGAGAAATTCAGAAGATTAAAATTTCAGAGAACACAAAGAGTGGATGAACGTGCGCCACTGTAAGTGATTTTGAGCCACGTCATTCAAAGTCTTTGTTCTAACATATGACATGTTTAGATCTTAGTACTGTAGCTCAGTGTCATTATGAAATTTGAAGCTCATAAAATGGATCTTCTGAAGTTTAAATATAGAGCATTAATTTGGCAAAAGTGGATAAAATTAAAGCCGATTGAGTTAATTCAGGCTTTTAATGTTCATATGTATGTTGTATAGACGGACAATGTTACTAGTTCGATTTTGATAAACTAGTATACAAACGAATGTGTACTTTTAAGACAGTGTTTTTGAGTAAAAAACGAATAAATTTGACCTGATGACTAACTGGTCATATTCATTAAAAAGTATATGGAAATATTAACTGTTAGGTTTCTGTGAACCTTAAAAGTGATATGTGATCAGACTTGACTACCCAATAATACAATGACCAACAAATAAGAATTTACACTATTCAACAAATCGAAACATTGAAATATTTATTAGTCATTTCTATAGATGTTAAGATAATCAAATATTCCGACCGTAGCTGCTACGTTGACGTGGTGGTCGGGCTTGACTAACGTCATGACCCAACCCAGCTATATTAGCTGGAACTTATGTTCCTGAAGGTTCAACCATGCTAGACACGTCGATTGGAGGACGATGAGACTAAAGGCAGCTACCCAAGGTCTGAGGGAGAAGTCGTACTGCTGACTGCAGAGGGGTGTGACAGCAGCGATGCTGCCTTCTCACAAGGAAGGGAGGGTTAGAAAACGTCGACCCTAAAAATGTCACACCTCACCCTACCTCACGGATTTCCGTCTCCGGCGGTAAGGGTGCCCACTAAGGGCTTTTAAGAGCGGAGCTAATACTCAAAAAACCTTTCATAAATGGCCGTGCGTGACCGGAAACATGGATACCTGAGAATTGCATAATATAAAGACATAACAGATCAAAAGTAGATCAAGACTTATAAATATCTTTCACATAAACTTTTGTTAGGAACTGAAGGAATAGTTCCATAAAACAGCGGGAACCGAGTACATAAAAAATCACAAACAGTACTAAACAGCTTCAACGTTTTACTTTGTAATTTCGTTAGATCATCGGATAATGTTTAAATGCTAACTTTATTTATGACGTAAAACTTTTCAAGACTGTGATATAGATAATTTTAAAAGATGTTTATACTTATCTAAATCATAGTCGTTGTCATTTTATTGCAAGATAAAATGGAATTTATCAGGGTGTTGAGTGAAGGAACAATGGTTGGTGTTGTACTACTATATTAATCAATGACAATCGGATGGGCTTAAACAAAATAATTAATTAATTAATTCGCTATCGTTGGCCAATGGTGCCTCAAGTTTGAAAGGATAGGAAAATTAAAAAAGATCTTTCTCGTCAACAGCCAAAAAGGTATAAAAAAATGAGAATATTCACTGACTTGTCGAATTTATTGTGCCACAAACGGACAGAATAAAAGGCTTAATAATTACATCTACATACATTTACACACTAGCATATCCACAGCCACTGAAGTACAGCAGTCTCCTAACCAAGCTAGGTATAGACAATTTAATTCAGAAGATTATTCTGAATTAAAAAATGACTGAAATGAAAATGAAATTAAGGTTGAATATAGTTTTTTACATCATCTCAGGTTAAACGATGAGTATTGTCATGTTTTCAGCTAAATGATAAGTATGAAAATCAATTGAAATTACAAACAATGAGGAAGTTAGTATCTATTTTCGCATGTTATGAAACATAAAGCTACTAATTATATGCAATGAGTATGGAAAAGCAGTAGATAATACTGTGTAACATAACAAGCGCGAACAATCAATCACAAACAGCATCTGACCCTCTAATCACAGTATGGCAATCTGAATTAGTGATATAAGTATGATGCATCGTAAAAAAAAGGAAAACAAAAGGGAGCACGCTATATTTACAAAAGATGAAGAGTTTTAGAAACACAGACGCAATCCATGAAACAAAAATTTGGAAACTTTATTAAAGACATACACAAGGAGAGAAAGCAATATATGTAAAAATTGTATCGATGACAGAAAAAAGAAAGCAATTAAACTGGGTATTTTCCCATCCCTTTTATTTTAAAGCCTTTTTCGTGTCACATATGGAGATGAAATAAAATTCACGAATACGTGCCCACCTTATACAAACGAAATCACGAATTAAAAATATTTTGGGGCTCGACCACAGCCAGTCAGTTACAGAATAGAACTTCGTAGGTACGTACATAAGTTCAAGTTGCCATACAACATTGGCATAGAGACGCCATAGTCAATTCAAATCATATAGTAGTAGAGGTAGTAGACGTATTAGCGGTAATGGAGAAGATTAAGGTTTAAGATAATATTCAAGAAGTAGAATCTAATGAAATAAACTTAAAAAGAAAAAGATGAAGTGATGAGGAATTAAAAAGTTTAGGATGCACCTGCGCCATTGCAAACGATTTCGAGCCATGTTCAAGGTATCTAACCATTGATGACTTTCGTCTCGCAGACCCCAACCAGGTAGTTGACACCTACCGATGACTTAGTTCACTTGACAGTGACTTTATGGATTTATGCTATGTTTTGGACTGGCCGCCCCTAGCTTTCTTCTAACTTATTCCTACATTGCAAAACACAGCTCGTCGAGGGCGTTAGTAATACGTCTCAACCACCTCAACTGATGAAGATTCGCTAGTTCATCTATTGACTCGATATCCTTACTTAGTATCCTTTTTCTAACATCAGCACTGCTCACTCGGAAAACCATAGCGGTTTATGCAAACTTGAGCCATCATTTGTGCCTTAGTGATGTTAGACTGACTCTAAAAGGTTGCGTCAGTGAGAGCAGTTTGACTCTGTCTGTAAAACGTGACCTCTGAGTTAAGGATATTAAGCGATTCCCTGCGTTTAATCAGCATTATCTCCGAAGGATTGCTGACAGTCAGTGACAACATCATGTTAGTAATGTTTTAGCTATGTATGTCTAGACAGTAACGATAATCCGATTGGTGTTACCATCTCTAAACACAGACTTTGGTGGCTAAAATATGTACTACGAAAGTTATCCCAGCAAATGCCACATCGCGCATTATTTCCCGACACTAGGACTCGTTGGCAAAAGTGGTCAGTCTATGAGCTAAACAGGAATAACATCCTTTAATTCTTGACGGCTCGTTGGTCGAGGTCTTAGAGATAGCGCAGTACAGTAGCTTGAGACGTTTAGATAAATAAGTAAATGACTATCATTTAGTAAAGAGATCTGTTTGACTTGTAGGTCACTTTCAATTTATACACTATTTGGACTTGAAAAATACAATGACTTATTCGCCTACTCATGAAATAAATTTTCAGATAAGTAATCGCTGAAAAAAATCCTAGTCGTAACTCTTCATTTTCAATCAAAGAATTTTAATGCGGAATTAACTTTATATTTAGATTTATATGGGAAAAATAATTTTGCATAGTGAATTAATTTGAGCATGACACAAATTAGTACGAACATGGTCGATTATGAAGGTATGAAAAATTTAGACTTACATATTTTTCTTTGTAAATCCACAGTCAGCACCTACACCTAAAATGTAAAACACGAAAAACTTAGAAAAAAATGTCAAGCAACAGTAGTTGACCTTGTTAGAATCTTCCACATCAATATGGAAAGGTCTAACTGGAGACACAATGAATCAGAATAATTTGTGGATAATTTATTGGATGTGTGAAGTACAGAGCGGATATAATTAAGGAGCCGAAAATATGGGGTGATACCAAGCTTATGACCTGAAGATAGCCAGAACGAGTCTCTATTTAAGCGATACGTACGTTAAACCATCACCTAAGGTCTGCAACTAACCATACGTAAGGAATGTTCTGAGGGCATACCAACAACAAACACGCCACCATATTTGGAACTTTTGTGCTGTCTTTTCTGTGTCACAGTTCACACAGAACAAAATGACGAGGTGAATGATTAAAAAAAATACCCAAACAAATTATAATTGTACAGCTTCTACCAACTTTTCCTTAAACTATTCAGACAAAAAAATGAAATAGTAAATAATCATTAGTGTTGCTTTTGTGTGCATCTGTAAGAACACAAAATCTTGGTCGATGAAGCGAATATTAACAAGCAGGAAAATATCACCGCTGAACTTAATGAACCCTCACTATTAACACAGAATAATAGTGCTAGCACGAGCCAATCACAAAACACATCCTCAGCTACCCTGCTTATTATCATCATATATTTTAAAAGACCACATGTTTACATTCTAGGTTTTGTTTGGTAAATGGTATAAAGTATTGGTTTCCGTAAATTTTTTTAAGAGCATAAACGGAACAACTTTCTGTACTCGCAGTGTTAAAATTTACTGTTTCTAGAATGTCACGTTTTTTAGTTCTATTACTTAGAAGAGGCCTTTACTTACTGAAGTCAGAATACTGGTTCACAACTACATACGGACCAGTTTAGTCAGCTGGATTTAGTTGCTCTAAAAATGCAACTAAAGAGAGTTAAAACAGCTGAGAAATTTTCTACGCGTATGTTATTTCGATAAAACATTCCTTTAGCAAACCAATCAACACGAACAAGTAGATTAATATGAATACTATGATCGACTAGTAAAGTGTTCAACTCAGCAGTTATGCCAAGAATTGTACCAGGCTTTTTTTATAAGCTTTGACAATATTGTTTTATAGATAAAAGAGACTGCAAGTACACGTCTCAAATTTTGGTTTGTTCCAACTACATCAATTTCAAAAAATGTTGATGACTGATTGTTGATGCTGACTTCTCAAAGTCAGTTATACTGAGCTTAAGTTGTTATATTACACTTGTAATTGTAATTGTGGGATTGAACGAATAATATCTTTGGAAACAATTGTAACCACTTGTTCATTTAGTGCTTTGTTAACGAATAAGTTTAAACTACATTTCATATAAGAGCGACTAAGTTGTTATAAAACCACGTTCTTTAACCGATGCGATTGAGAAGGGATAACTACGTTAGATTACTAAAGCAAATTATATCATGGATAACTGAAGAACTCAGATCCGAAAAACGCGTCAAGTAATAGCATCGGGGAACTAATAGTGAATCCAAAAGGATTATACCTAGAAAACTGCACGAGCTGAGTTACAAATGTACTTTCTTACGGGCATCAACTATTGCACTCGTATATTATACGTCGTCACTGACAGTTTGTCAAAACACGTACTCAAACTTCATAAATCTATTTATCGCTAAACAATCAGGTAGATACGTGTTTTAATAACTATTTATTGGCTTTCATATGTATTTCGGTATGTCTGCGAGGGATAACTCTAAACAATGTAAAATAAATTCTTCTCACAACAGTCAACAATAAGACTACGCTGAAGCAACATAGGATCACTGTATTTCAAGGGTTTTAGCAGTATTTCTACATATCATGCACCAGAAAGTTCAGATCTTACAACAGAAATTTACATAAGTAATCCATATAATTTTAGTCCTTAAATAACGAATACTATGAGTTTATAGACTATTTTGTTTTAGTATAACTTTCATGCATTAAATTAAGAACTATGACAAGAATTCGACTGTTTTTACTTGGTTATAGGAACTTTGGTTTGTCGATTCTAGATCAGCATACTGAATCGAGAATAATTACCGATTGCTGATGCAGTTCTTCACAATGAGACAGAAACAAGACCAAGACGCGCAAAAACTTAGACTTACCTAAACCAGTCTTAGAAGCCGCGCTTAGAACAGCCCATTTACTACTTGCTTCTTAAGGTACTTGTGAAAACTAGTATGTTAAAACAATTGTAGTAACCTTCAACTTCCTACATAGGGGGCACTGCTGTATCCATTGTATATTGGCGCACTATTTTTATAAAATTCTCATGACTTCAACTTTTGGGCTTCTTAACTGATTCTTTCGAATCAGCTTGTAAGAAACATTACTACGTATTAGTATCCGCGATTACCCATCTTCTGTTAACAGTAGAGTCTACGACTTATGTATTCTTGGTAATTGATTGATTTGAGATGGCAGATCGGTGTGCAATACTTCTAGCTAGTTCCCATCCAGATAGTTTCAAGTTTCACACACAGCCCACTGCACTAAAGAGAGTTTCTTTTCCATTCATGCATGGCATTTGTTTTCCAAATGTGAAAAGCTTCCGGACACGCCTTGATGCGAGATCTTGTCATATTCTTGCTCAAACTTACGAATGTAATATCAGACAAGCCTTTATCGTCAGAAGCTGTCAAATCCTCTACTACAAGTGGCCTGTTAGCTAAGCAAGATATTTATTACGAACTCCGTATCGTTCAGGAGTTGACAGATTATACTACTTTACATAAATTGGTTACATAGTCCGACTTATCCTTTCAAGCACTTTTACTACTGCTCCAGTTAAAGTGATGAGTCTTGAATTTGACAAGGCCTACATGGAGCTGATGATGACATATCATTTTCAGGGAACATTAGTGATGGTTGGACACCGCAGTATTTTTTTATGATATTTGCAGCTATGTTGAAAAGTTCTGTAGATTCTGTAGCTATATCATACATATCCTGTTTGTAAAAGGGGCTTCTAATAAAGCTATATATTTATAACTCCGTCAGTAGAACCTTAGGGGCTACTGCCGGTCTCAAGCTCGGGTAAAGGAGGAGGGTTGGACATGGGGTTGGCGACCCCATTCCGTCGAAATCTCACTTGCCGAAAAAATGCTAACCAGAAAAAATAATTCAAACCATTTTAACTCTGCCCTGGTAGATGGAAGAAGAATTATGACGTCTCGTGATGAAAGCCGAGTTACCTCGGAAGTCACGGGGCCGATGCCTCTTCTGACAACCAGAGCAACCATGCTTTTAGGTACATGGAGAGACTGGAAGACTATTTCAAGCTGCGGCAGAAATGAAAAGATACAACCTCGAGGTGCTCGGCATCAGTGAAACGCATTGGACACAGGTAGGACAACTGAGACTAGCTTCAGGGGAACTGCTGTTATACTCTGGTCATGAAGAGGAAAACGCTTCACATACACAAGGAGTTGCACTGATGCTGTCCAAACATGCACAAAAGGCACTGATAGGATAGGAATCTCATGGAACCAGAATCATTAAAGCATCCTTCAAAACAAAGAAAGAGGACATTACAATGAACGTCATCCAATGTTATGCACCTACCAATGACTACAATGACGACGTTAAAGATCAATTCTACGAAAGGCTGCAGTCAATCGTCGAGAAATGTTCACCAAAGGATTTGACGATTCTTATGGGAGACCTGAATGCCAAGGTTGGCATGGACAACACTGGATATGAAGACATCATGGGACGACATGGACTGGGAGAAAGAGACGAAAACGGTGAGAGATTTGCAAACCTATGTGCCTTCAACAAACTGGTCATCGGTTGCACAATAATCTCGCACGAATGCATTCACAAAGCCACATGGATTTCACCGGACCACACTACTCAAAACCAAATCGACCATATCTGTATCAACAAAAAGTTCAGAAGGACCATGGAGGACCACGAAGGACAGCTAACAGACTACTTTGAGGTGAAGACCGGTGTCAGGCAAGGTTGCTTACTCTCACCCTTTCTCTTTCTCCTGGTGATCGACTGGATTATGAAGACGTCAACATCTGGAGGGAAGCATGGTATCAACTGGACAGTTAGGACGCAGCTGGACGATCTGGACTTCGCAGATGACCTGGCTCTTCTATCGCACACTCAACAACAAATGCAAGAGAAGACGACCAGTGTAGCAGCAGCCTCTGCAGCAGTAGTTCTCAACATACATAAAGGGAAAAGCAAAATTCTCCGATGCAACACAACAGGCACCAACCAAATCACTCTTGATGGAGATGCCTTGGAGGACGTTAACACCTACATATATCTGGGCAGCATCATCGACAACCAAGGTGGATCTGATGCAGATGTGAGGGCGCGGATTGGCAAAGAAAGAACTGAATTTTTAAAGACGAATCGTATCTGGAACTCCAAACAACTTTCAACGAAAACCAAAATCAGCATTTTCAATACAAATGTCAAGACAGTTCTACTGTATGGAGCGGAAACATGAAGAACTACCAAAGCCATCTTTCATAAGATACAAGTGTTTATGAACAGTTGTCTACGCAAAATACTTCATATTTTTTGGCCAGACACCATCAGCAACTACTTACTGTGGGAGAAAACAAACCAGATTCCAGTGAAGGAGGAAATGAGGAGGAAGCGGTGGAAGTGGATAGGACACACTACGAAAAGCACCTTACTGCGTCACGAGACAAGCCCTCACATGGAACCCTCAAGGCAAAAGGAAAAGAGGAAGGCCAAATAATACATTACGCCGAGAAATAGAGAAAGATATGAGAGGAAAAGCACCTAACTGCGTCAAAGGCCAAGGAACACACAAAGCCGGGAAATAGAGAAAGATATGAGAGGAATGAACAAACATTGGACAAAACTGGAGAGGGGAGCCCAGGACAGAGTTGGTAGGAGAAAACTGGTGGCGGCCTATGCTCCATTGGGGGTAACAGGCATAAGTAAGTAAGGAAGTAAGTATTTATATATTTATTACGCAAAAACAACGTAGCTAGTGGTCCTTAAATTTAGTTGCACTTTATGTTCAAATTTTTGTAACGAGTAAAAGGATTTAGAAACATCATGTCTTTGGTTTGTCTAGGATCAAATCTGTGCAGAACGAAAATGCGTAGTTTATGACAGAGTCCAGAGTTACTACTATGAGGCATTTGTCAGCGATTTCTACTGAAAACAAAATAAAAAAGAAAGACTGATAACTCTGAGAATCGATGAAAGTTAGTTCCAAACCTATGCACGACGAGGCAAACAGTTGTTCATTTTCTTTGTGGACTTCATCAGATAACAAATTTAACATATTTCTGATAAAGGCAATTGTTGGTCTTTCTGAAACAGCATTGTTATTACTTAAGACTTAGGAAGAAATGATACTTTCCATGTTTGATTTTTGTTAGTGTGTGGCCTGTCCAGTCGAGATTGACTATGATTACCACCACAGATAGATTTACTGCCAATTACCAAGTTATATCCTTCCGTAGGATAGAGACAAAGGAGAAAACAGGATCAGGAAGTAAATGTATATTTGTTGGCGATCTCGTGGTATCGAAATTATACAGCGATCGTGACAAGGTTTACAGACGAGGCTGCCGTGCGTGCGTTAGCTGATGATTCAACTACCAGCCTGTTAGTTTTGATCTGAAAATCTGTTACAGAAAACGTGGTCGTTTCACCCTATTTTTAGATGGTTTGATTTTTCATTAACACTACACTCTCCAAATTTAACTAATTCCAGCTCTCAATTTTATATATAACACCTGCGCAACTGGTTTCGATCTTTTCATTCGAGATATAGTTAGTTCTAGATCACCTAGTTATATTATGCGTATCTTTCTTTTTATAAGACTTGCAAGTGAGAACAACACATTTTTTAATACTATAACAGTAAGGTAATTCTTGTTTGGTTAGACTTAATCCGATGCAAATGTGAAGGCGCGGAGTGGCAAAGCAAGGCAAGCATTTCTACAACAGAAAAAAATCTGAAAAACCAAACAACTGTCAGCCAACACCAAAATCAAGATTTTCAATACGTATGTCAAGACAGTTCTACTGTATGGAGCGAAAACCCGAAGAACTACGAAAGCCACCATGCAGAATATACAAGTATTCATTAACAGTTGTCTACGCAAAATAATTCGGATTTGTTGGCTAGACACCATCACCCACAACCTACTATGGGTGAGAACAAACCAGATTCCAGTGGAGGAGGAAATCAGGAAGAAGTGGTGGAAGTGGGTAGGACACATTGCGGAAAGCACCGAACAGCGTCACAAGACAAGCCCTCACATGGAACCCTCAAGGTTAAAGGAGAAGAGTAAGGTCAAGGAACACATTAAGCTGAGAAATAGAGAAAGACATCAGAAGAATGAACAAAAACTAGAAAGAACTAGAAAGGAAAGCCCAGGACAGAGTTGGTTGGAGAAAACTGGTGGGCGGCCTATGCTCCATTTGAGTAACAGGTGTATGTAAGCAAAAAGACTTAATCCAGTTATTTCTTATAATCTTTTTAGAACGAGTCCACGGATTTATTCGGTTACCAGTTTGAAACTTCTGAATTATTTATATGCCTATCATATGCTTACCCGAAATTCTGATGCCGAATTTAATATCTCTTCTGCATTTTTATGAACTTATTCGTACTTTCAAGCTCCTTTATGCCCCACAAATTCCCGTTATTTTCATACTCTTGTCCCGTACTCAATGAAAGGCTCATCCGACGTTGCTATTCCTCATAAAAACTGTAGATTAAAATTTTCCAAATGAACAAATTTTTACCGAATTTTGCATATAATAATATGTTTTTGGATTATATCTTTCGTTGCACTGGTCGTCATGGGTGATCACTATTTTCTTACACTCGTTTCTAACATAAGTCTAGATTTACCAATTACATTCAGCCCAGCAGTGTGTCTTTTGTACCCCTGTTTCCATTTGAGTACCGTGCTTTATATGCTACCAATCCCTTTCCAGCTGACTGAGAAAATTTTGAACTGTAGAATACTAGTAGAATAATTGCGGATGTGGGGGATATCTTTGGCATGCGGTCGGGCTCAAGGGAACTGGAAACGACTCAAAAAATCATTGAACCAGGTGAGGAGTAATGTCGCGTCACTGAAAAGTCGATGGATTCTGACGAAGTCATCTAAAAGATACGCCTTCGAATACTGAACATTTCATTGATCTTCATCAGGTC